ATCTTGTGCAATTGGGGTATGATTACACACAATCGATTAAGTCACCAAAACTGAGCCACATTGTCATGTCTGTAGCCTCTTTCAAACACTTCATACAAACTTTTCTAGCCTGGCATCCATACAGGGGCATTTTTATGTGTGTAATATTAATAACAATTATTTTGATGGCAACTCTCTATACCATAAAGGTGTCAGTATTTGTAGTTCATTCGTAATAGTTTTACATTTGCTTCTATAAAATCATACAGGTCAGGTACTTATCAACTTACCTTCATCAAAACATCAGGGTTCAAAATTAACTTAAGTCCGCGACTAATAAAAATTCACTAAGGACTAGGCCCCTTGTGACATTTATTTTGGGCATATCATCATCTTTACCATTAGGAAGATGGCAACTCTGCATCAGATCACTATTGCAGACTAGTGAAATTTCCAACACTAAACATACATCCTTGGACATCAGGCTAAGCAATAACATTAAAATAATTGGAAGTAAGATTAGATGGTTTATGCATGCAACTCTACCACAGTCAAAGGAAGAAAGGGGAGAAAACTGACAAATACTGTCATCCCAACTTAACCTTGCCATGGCAGGACCTTACACTCATTCAAGGACAAAGACGTCCAAGTCAAAATGTCAATCTCAGCTTATTGTTGAGTTACCCATGAATGAGCCAGGCATACACGGCATAGAGTGTAAAAAGGTATAGTCAGGTCATTGTTACCATAGGCTACAATCTTTCGTATCAAATGTGAAAAAGATCACTTCAGGCTACATTACATGGCAAACCCAGCCTGCCTACTAAACTAAAGACGGTGCGTTTGCAATCAAGACATTTAGAAAAGAATTTCTTCATTTATACTCATTTATTCTCGTAGAAACAGAGATCATATGTCGACAATGTTTCATCTTTCCATATTCGTGATACAATTTGACATTGAACTGTCATCAGCTGATCATAAAGTAAACTAAACGTATAGATAGCTTAGACATGCATAAAGCATTATCACAAATGCATTATGTACAACAAACCCTAGAGTTATCAAATTGACATATTATCCTACCGGTACTGGCTGCAGCAATTGTTCGGTCTTCGTTGACTTTCAACCCCTCACATTTCGCGTGGAACGGATTATTGAAAGTGCCGCTCTGGGCGGACGATAGAAATGATTTGAACATCCTTCCTGAAAAGAAATCAAGAAATGTGTATTACAAATGCAGTGAACCCTTGGACGTCGTGAAGAAATTCGGTGATGATGCAACAACTATAGACGAAGTTCATGGAAATCTTTGACACGTTTGTCCTTCACACCTACCGAAAATGGCGTGCTCGGCGTAAAGAGACCGGGTGGAAGTCACGTGTTTCTAACATTGTGACGTCATATTATTTCACCATTTCCAATGTTACTCGATTAATTTTCACCAGTGCACCAGGCATTCTTTCAGCCTAATAAGTCATGGAATCTGAAGTGCTAACTTAAAAGATATTTGTCTAATAAAACTAATTATTGTAAAAACATTTCCGTGATGTACCAAGACAAAAATAGATGTGCCTTTTCGATTAGAGTTACACGTATAAACCGGTTAACACTGTCTTCAGCATTCTTTATACTTTATACGAGGTAACATTTATGATTTTACATGAAGAAACACCTAATGTCCATATCTATATCTATTCATAAAACCTCCACGAAAACGCCAAAAACGACATAAGACCATTACAGTGAGTGTTTAAGGGTAATTATTTTTAAAATACGTGTCTGTACATCTTTTCCCACTCGTGATGTAGCAGGGCCGTGAAGGTGCAAAATAGACAACACTCGTTATTTAGAACAGTTAGGAAGGTAATCATTTGTTTTACTCCCTTAAACATATTAAAGGAATAATAAGTAATATTAACAGTTCACAATATTGTCATCAACATCACAAACCGTTTTACATGACAAACATATTTTACTCTTATATTAGCTGTTACAATAGTTCGTCTACACAACTCCGTATCAGTAGTTATTCACTAAACTTACCACTTCATCATGTGTATTTCAATGATGTTCGTGTAATCTTCAGTTTCAAACTTTATATATTCGAACAGGTAAATCCTGGATTATCCAGTGAGATATATAATTCCCTGACTTACCTATGTATTTTTGTACAATTACCACTGTGATGAAACGAGTGACTTCTTTATTATTTCAAAGCGACAGAAGTTGGAATTTACAAGTCGACTCTTTTATGATATTACAGCTAAAGAATGCCACACAGGCCTAAATAGTTTTTTGTTTGGTTTACGGATCCGCCGACATTACAGAAAATACAGAAACATATAATCAGAACATGAATTGTGTATTTTTGTACCGCCGACGAAAAGAATCGCTTTGAAAATAAAAAATTTCCAAGGGATGTTTTATTACTAAAACGGAATTTTTAAATCGCTATTACAAGTAAGATTTACATTCAGAATATTTATATGGACCCAAACCAGGCCAGCTTTTTATCACCTCCCGATCCAAATCAAATGACCTTGTGAGTTAAAAAGGCCTGTACAATGCATACTTTCAAAAGAAAACCACTCACCCGACTAAGTTTTCCCAGACCTCTGTGTCTACCAACCCACTGGACTATCTCAACTGACCAACTGCCACATGCAAAGTGGGAATTATTCTCACCTGCCTTAACTACTCAGTTTCCGTTGTAGGCAACGGTCGTAACAGTTACGTACAACGCCCGCCAGCGATTTTCAGAGTTGCATAATGTCTGGACGACACTGGGGTCAATGACCTGTGACCGGGTCAGTGTCACACTCAGAGAGGTCATATAGAAAGACTACAGACAAATAGGTATTGGTATCAACATAAGTCATGAAATGAAAAGGATCACCGACGAAGTGGCCGACACCGATGTTATGTAAATCTGGCACGTTAACATTTTATGATATATATATTATCTTACCTGGAAATGCTAGCACTTAGAGTACACTATGAAACTGGCTTGAGTGAGTGAGTTGGGCTTAACGCCGCTTTTAACATTATTCCAGTTATATCACGGCGTGTCAGCTTAATGTGGGAGGAAAGCCCGAAGTGATGCAGGTCTCAGACGTTTACCACTTCGGTGAAACCCGCGAGCACGGGTATGGTGCTGACAAACCTAGAAACATAATTGGGGCGAACCGGGATTCGAACCCACAATCATAGGTTTCTGGCGTGCCCAAGGGACGCAAACCTGCACAGCGAATCGCAGCGCCTTAGACGACTGGGCCACCCGTGCCCCGAAACCGGCTTGAATAAGCCTGCACGTCGCTGTTTGAGACAAGGGAGATAGTTCTATTACAATAACTGCCGTTTCTGTGTAGATTTACAGACACCACTTGCTTGATAACGGTGTTAATCTATACCGAAACGTCATTGTAATAAGGAAGTTGTATATCCATAGAACTATCTCCCCTATTCATCACACGTCGCGTTCAATATTATTGCACTCAAACAGCGACGTGCAGGCTTATACAAGCCTGTTTCATAGTGTACTCTAAGTGCTGGCCTAACATTTAGTCACAGAAGTTTTCTTATTTAAAGATACATATCTACAAAAATGAAATGATAAAATCTAATTGGAGCCTAGACCAATGCTTAATTTCAGAGCTTAGGCAATCTAGCTCCCCCATATACCATGCCGCAGCTTAACATCCATACCCAACAAAGACACAGTATATTGCCTCCCATCCAGCCAGTCCTTTTCATATGCATACATACGGCGGATACAGCTTCTTCGAAATCCCATACAACTTCTCTTATTTCAGTCCAACAAGAATAATTTCAACTGTCATCAAAGAGTAAGGTATGGATTTTACCCTGTTATCTGTACCTGGTCATAGTTTCAATTTGTCGATGTCTGTCTGGGATCAGGCTAAAACGGCTGTCAGCAGCAACTCTCCAAAATTGCCTGGCGTCAACCATATTGGCGAAAACGGCGCTATAAATAATGTAAGGTTCGGAAGATATGAGTTCAATAATTGGAATGGGAGCAGAGTGAATATATCATACTCTCTCTTGGAAACTTACTGAATTTCAAGAACTTAATTAGACTGTGACACAACTTTCTTAATGGTTTATATTTATTTACTCAAAATCGTTTAAACATCTAATGAAGGTGGTGCCGTTTTCCCCAATTAGTCTCATTTTAGCTTGTGGCCAAACGCCTTTTCAGCTATAACCAACCCCTGTATCTAAATATACAATAGGGGCGAGTTGTGTTGAGTAGGTAGATACTTAGGTCGCGATTCATGACAATCAAGGTTCTTATAAGATGAATATTCAGTTAGAATTACATTAGTTTTCGCATTAGTTTTGCTATAACGCGGTTTTTGTATTTTTGAACTACGAGAAGAGTTCCAAACGCAGATTAAATCTTTCTCTAAAGCACTTGATGTGATATTCATCTCTGCTCTAGTAATGACTTGTATGAATAATAATGTGACAGGAAATCTGAGTTGGTAATCTTTTTTAACCGTTTCTGTATCTCAATATCTACACATATCTGATTAAACATAGCTATGGAACCCCCAGTGTCTCTACAACCCTGTGCAATCCAGACATAAGCAAAAACTGTTTGAAATAATAACATCCTGACGTGTGAAACCCAATTTAAAGCCCCAATCGTACCCTATGATTTTACGTTTTATAACAGGCATGGAGTAAGGCTTAGGATTCATACGAATAAGTCAACATCAATACTTTAAACACCGACTAAAATAGTTTATAAAAATATTTTAACGGCAAACTTCGCACAAAACGCCACTTGTAGGTACTTCTTTTCCCAGTTTTAAACACCCTTTAAAGAAAATATAAAATGGGTGCATATTTTTACATTCTCCTTTTTGGTAAACTAAATTCTTGTCCTTCCTGTGTGGCTTGGATTTAGTGATAAATGACGCCTATCCGGAACAGGTTATCACTTAGTTAATCTAACCGAACACACTAAAATAAAGGGGAGATCACTACGGATTCCTAACAGTAAATGTGTTTGGGGTACATCGCGTCCGGCACGGCCATCAACATGGCAGCTATCACAAGCAGTCGACTGCTGAAAGTAATCATTTGTTTCATTGTCATATTTTTTTACAAGTTATGTTTTTAATATAACGGTAAATGGATATTTACATTTTCGAATGATGCATCACTATGCACATGCTTCTCTTTCATTCCAGAACACGGCATGGTGCGTCTTGAGGCGACACCTAAGTTTGAGTGCTCCACGCTCTGGAACTCAGGTTGGTAGGGTTCGCTTAGTGTTATCTGTCAAAATGAAATAACCTCTGTTTTATGGGTTTTAATTGCCGTTTTGCAATTCCACTTTGTCTCACTTTTGTTAAAAGCGCCTGCATCTAACGAACATATCTGCATAGAATATGTATTGTAAATGTGCATTTGACCTTGGATTCTCAATTTGGGACGAATGGCCCGCAAACTTCTTACAGTGTCAGTCGAAGAATCGCCTCTCTGGCGCCTCACAGCTTACGGAATATAGGCCCTATTTACCAACGACTAAGTAAAAGTTATGTATTGAAAGTAATTACACTCTACAGTTAACCAAATTCGAAATGAAATTTTGTAACAGTGGTTTAGGGAGAATTGTAGTTTAATAATATGATGAAGTTAAAACAATTCTTCTGTTTTGTTTTTCATAGATGACAGTTCGAGATGCCTTAAACAGTGCAATTGATGAAGAGATAGCTCGCGACGACAAAGTGTTTCTGTTGGGAGAAGAAGTTGCGCAGTATGATGGAGCATACAAGGTGAATCAACAGATCTTTGCCTGCACTGTTGTGTTTAGGGGAATAAGAAATATGCTTGCCAAACCATAGGATCGTCTTGACAACCCAGTAAATTGATTTATGGCAATAATGTATCAGTAAAGAAAGCTGTGTTGCTGAGTCTTCAGTGTTATTTGGAGACCTTCAACCAATGGTAGAAAGTAGTCTTTCCCCTAAAGGTAACAATCTGCTTCATCAAGTATTTTTCTGTTTGAAACCTTTTGCCTGCCTTTGGCTTTTGCCTGCCTTTGGCTTTTGCCTGCCTTTGGCTTTTGCCTGCCTTTGGCTTTTGCCTGCCTTTGGCTTTTGTTTGCTTTTGGCGGTAACCCTTACTCTTGGGAACATGTTTTTCTGTTGTGTGCTTGTGTGAAATCAGCATGCTCTGTTAAATGTTGTCTTTGTTACGTGGTGCCAGATGCAACTTAAGTGACAACAAAAACATCCTCAAGCCTCAGTTTTGCTTTTTGTTAAGTTGTCATTGATTTGACTAAGAAAAGCTTCACAGTGGATATGGGTGCTATCTTGATGCAGCTGATGTGTGACAGTACCTACTTTCTTGTACAAACCACAACATACATGGTTGGATCACTGAAATTTGAATAGAAGGAGTTGACAGTGTTGACTGGTGCAGATTATGGCAATACATTTTAGGCCATTCAACAGTATTACAGATATGCACAACATACATTGAGTGGACTTGGCAAACCAGTGGCCCTTATCGATGACCTATGCCATGAGGGCAGTAGGGTAGCCAGGTGGTCAAAGCGTTCTCTTGTCATGCCAATGGCTCAGGTTCTATTCTCCACAGAAGTTCATTTCTGGTATCCCTCACTGTGATGATGCAGGAATATTTAAGAAGCATAATTAAACCCAACTTATTTGTCTATAAAATACTTGTCTGTTAAACAATGTTAAAAGACCACCAAGCACTCACATGATGTGTCTCTTCACCTCTTCAACCGACCAGAATAAAAACAAAACAAAGTGAAAACATACTAAAACATAATTTATTGTTATTTGCCTGTATGCTGTTTTTGATGAAGTAAACAAATATGAAAATGAAACAGAAAGGAAATCCTAATAGTACTGTAATTTCTGATGGAATGTATGATATCATCAGAAAACATTTAATGAAGAGAGCATACCCATCCCTGACAGAAACAATCCTTTTTTGATAAAGAAGAATAGTAAACATTCTTCATTCACAGTTTTGGCTCACCTGACTAAAAGTCAAGTGAGCTGAATTCATGGCCTGGCTTTCTTGCTTCTGTTGTCAGCGTCTGTACACAATAGGGGGGAAACCATACATCAGTGCACTGGTGCATTGTAATTTTTCATGCGATGATATGAAACTTTTTTTTCTGTATCAATGCAAGACAATATGATTGCTAAAATAAATCACCACATTTTGTGGCTTTTTATGAGCAATAAAGATGTTGTTGTACACAACATTACAAAATAGCAGCCGGTTGTCATTCTATCGAGACAATCAACTTATATCTTTCTTTGAGTTAACTTTTCACACGACCTGAAGTAAATGTGGCCACCTTGGCACCAGTATTGAAAAAGCCTTTTTGGGCTCTGTTCCTTCATTCCTGTTTAGGGGCGGTCGGGTAGCCTAGTGGTTAAAGCGTTCGCTCGTCACGCCGAAGACCCGGGTTCGATTCCCGACATGGGTACAATGTGTGTAGCCCATTTCTGGTGTCCCCCGCCGTGATATTGCTGGAATATTGCTAAAAGCGGCGCAAAACCATACTCACTCACTCACTCACTCATTCCTGTTTAAAATGTAGTGTTAGGCTCTTAATTTCTCTCAAAATGCATTTAACAACATTTCTGATATGAGCAGACTGATGATAATGAACTTTGGCATGTATATCTTATGATGACATATTTTGTTTAAATTATTTGGATTTTGGTGGGGTTTTTTGTGATACAGTTCGAAACAAAGTTGACACAATTTTGGATAACAACTTTTTTTATTTTACTGTAGTTCTGACATTTCGTCATAGTTCCTTATATGCTTGTTAAGCAATGAACATGGATCGATACCTAAACGTTGCTATTACAGTATAATAAAGAAGTTGTTATCCACAAATTTTATCTGCTTTGTCATCCGTCAGCTTCTAAAAAATGCCTATCAAACAATACAACTGGAAAAAATATATATAGCTTTAGAAACATTTTTCACCTAATAGAAGGTATTGAAGGCTCGGTTGGTTGGTTGGTTGTTTTACGCCTCACGCAGCAATATTCCAGCTATATGACGGCGGTCTGTAAATAATCAAGTCTGGGCCGGACAATCCAGTGATATCATTAGCATCGATCCACGCAATTGGGATACAATGACATGCTTCAACCAAGTCAGCGAGCCTGACCACCCGATCCCGTCTGTAACGGTAAGCATGGGTTGCTAAAGACTTGAAGGCTCAGAGTTTTACTGTAAATTTGACTGTTGAGTATTGTTACAATGTTCAACAATAGTACATTCATTCTTGCAGATTTGCAAAGTTACTGGTTTCATATTTGTTCATACTTTTGGCCTTCGTATTTATGTAGAATATATTTGAAGAGCAAAGCTGACATTACATTTTCTTCAGTGGCTGGCAAAATTTTGAATTAGCTTTTGATTGTCATTCTAGAAGTTGAATAGGAAATAAAAAACATACAACTTTTTGGATAACAACTTCTGATTTATTGCATATCGTGATGTTTTGATGTAGTTTCTTACACTGTTATCAAGCTTATCACTCTAGCTTGATAACAGTGTAAGAATCTACATCGAAACAGCGCTATGTGCAATAAATCAGAAGATGTTATCCACAAAGTTGTACATTTTTTTATTAACATTTTAAACTGTTGACTAAATATCCAGGTAAGCTTCTGTGGTGTGGCACTATTTTTTTTATTGTTACTTGGGTTGCTGATCCTCCAACCTATAATTCATCTTTGTGGAATAAAATTCAAATTATCTTACTTTTGTTGAGTAGGGTAAAAGACTTCTTCAAGATGGGTCACTGAGGGAGGATTGAACACATAACAAATGACATCAACTTTCCTTTTCTTTCCTTATAATGATTGAGCCTGTCCTTCGCTGGTTTTAAGAGGTCACATTAAATAAGAATTTTGTATTTATTTTTATTTTTATCCTTATTTTATACCACCTATTGGTAAAACAAAATCTCAAAAGTTCTCTGCGTCATTCAAGAGGATGAACCACTAACTTCCTGTTTCAAATCAGAAGGTGGATCACACACTTCCTGTGTCGAGTCAGAAGGTGGATCACACACTTCCTGTGTTGAATCAGAACATGGATCACACACTTCCTGTGTCAAGTCAGAAGGTGGATCACACACTTCCTGTGTTGAATCAGAACATGGATCACACACTTCCTGTGTCAAGTCAGAAGGTGGATCACACATTTTTTGCATCAAGTCAGAAGGTGAATCACACCCGTCCTGTATCGAGTCAGAAGGTGGATCACACACTGTGTCGAGTCAGAAGGTGGATCACACACTTTCTGTTGTCAGAACGTGGATCACATGCACTCACTTCCTGTGATGAATCAGAAGGTGGATCACACACTTCCTGTGTCGAGTCAGAACATGGATCATACACTTCCTGTGTTGAGTCAGAAGGTGGATCACACACTTCCAGTGTCAAATGAGAAGGTGGATCACACACTTCCTGTGTCGAGTCAGAAGGTGGATCACACACTGTGTCGAGTCAGAAGTTGAATCACACACTTCCTGTGTCAAGTCAGAAGGTGGATCACATACTTTCTGTGTCGACTCACAAGGTGGATCACACACTTCCTGTGTCAAGTCAGAAGGTGGATCACACACTTCCTGTATCGAGTCAGAAGGTTAATCACACACTTCCTGTGTCAAGTCAGAAGGTGGATCACACACTTCCTGTATCGAGTCAGAAGGTGGATCACACACTTCCTGTATCGAGTCAGAAGGTTAATCACACACTTCCTGTGTTGAGTCAGAAGGTGGATCACACACTTCTTATGTCAAGTCAAAAGGTTTATCACACACTTCCCGTGTCAAGTCAGAAGGTCGATCACACACTTCCCGTGTCAAGTCAGAAGGTGGATCACACACTTCCTGTATCGAGTCAGAAGGTGGATCACACACTTCCTGTGTCAAGTCAGGAGGTGGATCACACACTTCCTGTGTCAAGTCAGAAGTTGGATCACACACTTCCTGTGTCAAGTCAGTAGGTGGATCACACACTTCTTATGTCGAGTCAGAAGGTTGATCACACACTTCCTGTGTCAAGTCAGAAGGTGGATCACACACTTCCTGTATCGAGTCAGAAGGTTGATCACATTCTTCCTGTGTCAAGTCAGAAGATGTACAGTTTATGTTACCTCATGTGCCCAAAGAAGGACCAGTTGAAGACTAATCAAATGAACAAGATTTTTCTTCAGGACGGGGTTTGAATAAATTCCAATCGGAGATCAAGACGTTCTGGACCTATATAAATGAAAGTAGGCAAATACTTGTTGATAATTTTGCATGCTCCTTCTTACATGTCCTTGCACAACTTGCAACAAGAATGAAAACTCAGCTTCCTGTAGCTTGCATTTAAAAATTCAGAAATCATTACCAATGTACAGCTTCTATGGCATGTTGGTAAACATGTATTTGAATTGGAAATGTTGTGTTAAGTAGCATGTGTATAGACTAACTGAACGTAATGAATGGTTTGAATTTTGAGAAAATGAAATGGACAGTTTTAGGCCTCTTTTTGTTACTTGGCTTGTTTTTCTCCTGAGCCAAAATGTAAGCAAAAGAAACAGTATGATGTGGTCCGTCTTGGGACAGCAGGATCTTCAAGATGGAAGAAATGAGCAAACCTTTTAGAAATTGTTATGAAGTCTTTGAATGGCATTTAGAAGTGATACACATGAGAAGAGAATATATGGAAGTTAACTATTTTATTATGAGGACCACAACAAAGTTGACATCCAT